AATTTAAATTAACATTAAAAATCTTAAAAAGGAGGAAAAAGAAGGTGCACTTCCACCGGGAGGATCAGTGTCTGAAGCAGCATGTTGTTCGTGTAGGATCATTTTCTGTGGGAGAACACAGACATGACCCTTGAATTAGATTGTAGATGACCGTTAGATTAGTTAATGCTGGCAACACTTTCACAACAACGAAATAGTTATGGTGTGACAACACATTCATTTAGTAGCCGAGTGTGTGTAAGTGTTACCGAAATGGTTTGTGTATAAAAAAGATTAATATTTGGTTCCAGCAGTTAAAATATTTTTTTCGTTGTAATTTGATGTGGTTCATATTGTGATGCAGGGCTGAGCTGGCCATCGGGCATTTGCCCAGTGGGCCGCTCGTAATTTTTTGTTTTTATGGGCTTTTCTTCCTCATACTCTCAGGGTCTCTGGATTCTCCCATTTCTCTGGATTCTGCCCGATCACTTCTGTGGTTAATACAGTATTGTGTGTGTATAGTTTCATTCAGTTTATTCAGTCTGCTTTTGGGTCCTGCCTTCATGCGAACTCTGGCTAATGGAGTTGTCAACGTCATCCTGATGTTTGTCAAGCCTAGAAGTGAATCTGATTTAGAAACTGAGGTAACTTGCACAATCCTTTGTCGTGGAATTTTCAGATAAAATAAAGTCTGCAACACAAAAAGTGCTGTGGTCAAGCTATTTATTACTGCATGCATATTGGAGAGGGAATTCATTGTTGTTCTCATTGTGATGGTGTAGTTTTTGTTGTGTATGAGATGCAATTATCTTGGCACAAAGAACCATTTTTTGTTGTATCGCTATTTTCATGATGTTTAGGTGTGATTATCAGCAGCTGTGAGGCCTGCTTTTGAAAACCACGCAAAGGATTTCAGTGAGCCATCTGCAGCAGTCTGATCCATCTACAAAGTATTTGTTGTAATTGTGTGTAATATTCTGCAAATTTGTAATGTATATTGTTCTAATTATTTTATATGCAAATTTAGAACAAATAAGACTATAAGATTATTATTATTATGGTCATGATGTAATTTTTTTGTTGATAGACATTTGTTGCTTTCAGCTGAATGGAGGGCCTACAGCCTTTGTGTTTTATGTTTGTAGTTTTCACGGCGTTCATAAATAAAGCAAAGCGCCCGTCTTGAAGAAGCCGTGCCTCTGTTGTCATTTCGGAGTTAGGTTGTGGCTATGACAATGCTGCTTAAGTCATAGACTGACTGTTATTAAACATTTTCCCAAATTATATTATATATATTCAGATTCAGCCTCACTGTCTGAAGAAACATTCCTTCCCGTTATCAGACCCTTACATACTGAGCTGGACTAAAGTGAACTACGCCATTGCACTCCATCACCTTCTTTATGCCACAATGCATATTTGCACACCTGTTAATTAGCTTTCTTAACAGTGTGACAAAACATTACCTGTCCTTTTATTAACTGCACAAGTAGTGCTGGTCTGTAAGGACATGAAGAGGATGACAAAAGGAGCTGTGTGAGGCTGCTAAAGGCAGCGGATCCCTCACCAGCTGGATTAAAAAGACCACAGGTAACAATAACACACATACCAGTTGTTGCATTGCAGAGGTATTCAAGTATAAAAACAATAATAAACACAATTGTAATGTTTTATTTTAATAACTTATTTTTATCATTGCTTTATTATGGGTCAGGTGCAAGAGTTTTCAAGTGTGGATAGTTAAATACTAAATTAACGCAACAGCAAATTGTGCCTTTTTCGGACAGACGGACAGGAGAGTGATAGATGAGATGAGGAGATGGAAGAGACGCAAAGACTGATTCACTGGCAGAGCCTAGTTTATTTCCCACAGTTTTTTTTAAATTTTTTTATCTGCTGCCTTATAAACACTGTCACCAATCTTTGCATTTTATTATTACCTCGGCACATCATTTTCAACCCCCTGCCTTCAAGGGTGCAGACCCGGAATTGGGATACAGCCAAAGTCTAATGAGTCAACAATGGAAGAAATAATTTCAGAATTGTAACATGGTGCCACCTTGTGACAAAAATAGAACATTTCTTCACCCGTGTACATTTTAAAACATGACATATGTTTTGAGCAAACTAAAGTGCAGAGTTTTCTTGTTTCCATTGCAGTGATTGTAGCTAATTACATTTTTCGGTTGGTTTGTAGTTTTTCAGCCGTCAGTGAGGTGTGAGTTGCATTCCTGGCAGTCAGGACGAGCCTGCCCTGACTGCTGGAACAAAAGAGTTTAAATAGAAGATAAATGCTCACAGTTTGAGTTGAACTGTTGATCAATGACATGTCTTTGCTTACAGGTGAGGGTCACCATCGGCCTGCAGGATGCACTGTGAGAGCAGATACAGACATGCACACATGCATGCACTAAAATTAAAAATATATTCTTTGTAAGATTTTTCTTCTGTATTTCCTCAGTATCTGCCATGGCCTCATTACTGTGTGCGCAGATGTTTACAGAGGGGGAAGTACAAATACTTTGTGACTGTGCTTAAGTATAATTTTCAATTGAGGTATGTCTACTCTTATTGAGTAGTTTTTTAATGAGTAATTTTTTACTTTCACTCTCTACATTAAAAAAAAAAAATATCTATTATTTTTACTTCTTAGATTTACATAACAAAACAGACTCATTACTTTTGCTTTAACACATTCGAGGGGACCTTTTTCGTGTCACACTAAACTGATTTTAGCTTAAACAGAAACACATAAAAAGGAAATCCTGTTCCTGTATTAATCACTAGCGGATGCCACATAAAAAGAGATGATGTGTGGTAAAGTCAGGGCCTAAAAGTGGAAATTCTTTTTTCTTTTTGCGACAACATCGGAACAACTGCGGGTCTCCGTAACCAAACATAAACTGTTTCTGTGCAGTTTGTCTCACAGTGTATTGTGGCTGAAGGTCGAGCAGCTTGGTGGCGTCTCCACACACCTACTGTCGTTCATTTCTAATTTTAAAGCTCCACATTAGATCTCTTAAGCTTTAAACTGCATATGTTAAAACTTTACAGGTTACTCCGTGTATTCAGCTATGATGCTCAACCACAGCCTGAAAAGGAGACAAGGAAATCACTTTAGTTTGTTGTTAGATCATAGTGGAAATATTTTTACTGGTTTAATAGAAATTATTGGTGCTAAATAGCCTGTAAATGCTGCTCCTGCTTTTCCTGCATAAGGTTCCAGCATTACTAGATTTCAAACTACAACACCTACCTTGTTGGAACCATCATACATCTATATACTCTACCTCAGATTTAAACTGGGGGTGGGTGTAGTGTAGCATAACGTAAGCAGCAAGTAAGGTGATAAGTAAATAACATTAGCAGACGATTGAAGTGTTTTTTTTTTGTTTTTTTTTTTGTTTTTTAAGCATACTTTATTGCTGGCATCTCCGATTAACCATAAAATAATCAATCAGGCATGCAAAAATCCCACTTGCTTTATACAGGACTTTGCCCACACCTGACCTCATTAGACTCTACCATTGAAACAAATAGGTCAGACCAAACAATACAATTCTAAACAAAGAACAGGAATGAGATTATGCATGAAATGGACAAACTCACTTACTCAGCTAAATGTTTTGTAAAGTAAAACACATACAATATAACTCAAAAGGCTACTTTAAAGAAAATAAACAATACTATACAAAATGAAAAACCCTCCATTTGGTTACACCCAATGATGCAATCATTGACCTCATGACCCTATATAAACAGGAAGCACTGGGCGGCCCTTCCCATATACCTGTCTTAAATATTGGACCTGAATAAACAACATGGACAACATGGTAAGTATAACCAAAGTGCTGATGGCCAAATGAAGCTTTCCGAAGCACTGAAGCTTGTATTGAAAAACGGTTCATTACGCGAAGCTTTTCAACACAGTCCTCTCCGGTGACATCTGGTGGTGAAAATTTTGAAGAGCAGCTTGAATCTGCAAAATAAAACGGACTGCTCAATCATCACTGCTCACTCAAGAGTGGAGTTCTCTCTGATATTGGGCCACCGTTCCGTTGCTTTGAACATGTAATTGGTTTT